CTCCATCCTACTACAATGTCTGGATTTTAATGTATACGTTCAGAGAGTATTGTGAACTTATGATACTACTATATGTATGCATGCGGTAGTAAAGGGTCGGTCGTTGTCGTTCTAGACTTTTCCGTTCCTGGTGCTCTTCCTTTGGAGAGCAGACACACACGTTCCTGGTGTTCCTGAACCGACCCGGCCCCTAAAATCCCTAAAATCCCAAAGGAGTGGTTCTTTCACTCTATTCATCCGGCCCTATCCACCCATCCATCCTTCCCATTCTTTTGGAGGAGCTTAAACAGTCTATTTTTACTTTTATTCTTGATTGTGATTTTGTTTGGTTTAGTCGGTCCTGTCGTTGAGGTTCACCGTACTGTATTATGGAGCCTTGGTGTCACTTGTCACTGGTCGTTGTGAGTAAGTAGTGGTGGGTGGTTGTGAAACCCCGCATTTTGCCCGTCTGTCCGCTCTTGGGTTTTAGCGACTCGGTCGGGATTTTCCTGCAGTGTGGTATGAAGGGAGGGGATATGGATGGAGTATGAGTAAGGGTCCTGGCCTGGTACTCTATATTTTTACGGTAAAGTTAAGTTTAGGAGTTTGGAGGATGGTACTTCATAGGATGGGTTGATCGAGATTTGTGCGTAGATGTGGAGGAAGGGTCCTGGTAGGTACTGGGACCACGAGACTTTTCTCTTTTCTTTACATTTTGGTCCTTCACGGGGTATCTACAAGTATTTAGGTTTGGGAGTTGGAAAGTTTGGGGACATGGGATTGGTGTGTGTATAATAAAGTACGATATCTGAGGTCATTTGGTATAGTACCTTACGTACCACCTGCAACTCTTCGATATCCATTTTTTCTCTTTCTTTGCCAATACTGTAATGGTGGAGTTCGATTATCATACGTAGCTCTCTGTCTATGGATGGTTTGTACTGCCACCTTGCTCGGTAGTATGTATGTAAAATCGATTGGATCCTGTCTGTTTGTCCTGGCTTCGGTATATACTGGTGGTTCTGTACTTGTGGGGTTTAGGGTTAGCCTCGCTTCGCTTCGGTAGTATTGAAAGCTGCCTGCTGCTTGGCTTCGTTCGTTCGTGAGTACATGCATGCATGCAGGACCCTTTTGGATACATGTGTGTAGGTGTGTGTGGTACTAGTACTAGGGCTATTATGAATGCATCCAAGACGGCTGCAGTTGCACGTTTGCAGCGCGCCACCTAGAAGGGGGGGAAGGAATTGTTATTGGAGGGCATGGCGCGGCTGTTGTGTGGAGAGAGGGGTTGAATCATAATGAGGGATTTAATCTTTACTGTACGAAGGGTTTTGGGGTGGGTTGGTTGAGTAGTGTTGTGTGACGTTTGTGGTGGGTGTGGTATTGGTGCTTTGGAATTGATATGGGGGGAGTTGTTATGTGTGATGATGGAAGATGTGGATTTGAATTCCGTTCTTACTTTTTTGGTTGGGTTTGGGTTAGGTTTGTGGTGTTAGTTTTGTTGGTTGTTGTGGAGTATAAAGTGTGTGGTTTTGGGGATTCGGGATTCGGGAGATGGGTAAGTGGGTAAGTAAAGGATGGGAGGGAATAAATGCGCCATGTGCGGTATATGGATTTGGAAGGTAAATTGGCAAGATGACTGATCCTATTTCTGCTTATTCGGACAATTCTCACTTGAATCATTGAACTCTGGTCAGTCGGTAGTTCAGACGTATATCAACTTACCCGAGTAATCTCACCCACTCATTTATTTTCTTTATTTCTATCCTCTACCTTGAAGTGATAAGCTACCAAGCTACTAGCTTAGAAGTAAATCCACGATCCGTCCACCTTTACAGACCTACGGGGACGGAAAGAACAACCGTATTTGTTCCTCTTAAACCATGCTTGTTCGGTTCTGAAAGACAGGTTCCTTCCTCGGAAAAATAGAAGGGAATCATATAAAAGTCTAGCAGACTCCGACGCTTGCCCGTGTTTGAAAAATCCAGACTTCAATATCTGAAGCTTTTCCGATAGCGTGGTTATGAGTCGATTGTTAGAAACAAAAATTACAAGTCAAAAAGAAGCAGCAAGCACGAGATCGATAAACCTCCAAATACTCATCAAGAAACTCTATCTTGAACCTAACCTGTCATTCTAAACTTTGATTCAACGTTAGTTACCCGTTGTGCTAAGGATAGACTTTGTCATGGGCAGAACTGCCGGTTCATCAGCAGGGTATTCAAGAGGAGTGGGGGTTGATACGGTTTATTGAGTAACAGTAGTCTTCCACGTGTGTTTTTACCTTTTATTAACTTGGCTGGGCGTGTTGGGTATAGATATATCGATGTATTGATATTTTGTTATTGGTTGGATGTAACTTGGCCAATTTAGGATATCAAATTGGGCAAAGACTTTGGAATTATTGTCTTGTGCTTCTTGGTCATCTTGGATTTCTTGGTCTTGGTGTATTCTTGGGGAATCACCAGAATCGGGATCATAGCGATGATGCAAGTAATGTCGGTGGTGTACAGGAAGCAGGTGATGTCAAGTTGGGTGTTGGGATGTAAAGAGGGGACAGCGGGGTGTGGGGGGGAATTGGGGAATGGGGGTGGTCATATGACTTTGACTTGTAACTCTTCCAACTTTTTGTGTCGTTTGGTGTCATTTGGTTCAGAGTACATTCATTATTTGGATTTTTGGCGGCTATCACGATATTGGTTATATGATGTGGAATTCGAAGTCAAGGCACAATGAAGATAAAGGGAGGAGGAGCTTGAATTGCAGTCAGGTATTTACAGGTGCTTCAATATTATAGTCTCAGTCTACGAACGATTATTGAAAATGGTAGTCAGGTTCTCACTGCTTTCTTAGCGTCAACGAAGGGGTTCTAGAACGTGGTCTTTGTTCTTGGAATGCAGCTGATTGCTGATCGTTACGAGAAAGAGGACCTGCAAGATGGCACAGACCAGAAGTTCTCACTGCTTATTTAGCGTCGATGAAGAGTTTGCTGACATTCCTTGTGTAAAGTTAAGTTAAGGCTCTTCACTGCGTTCAGAACAGGGTTGGACTCCAAAATGCCCATATCTCGCAGCGATTCTCGCTTAAATTATACGAGTCGGAAAGGTCATGAGGTTACAACTCGGTGGACTATGGACTATACTAAAAGCGCTTATCTAATATCTACTATCTCTCATGTGATCAAAAAAGTTTCCTAAATCTAATAAGTAGCTAGAGTAGTATAAGGTGTTCTTGGCTTAGTACTTTCCGATCTTTTCCTCTCCTCTCTGCCAGGGTTTATATCAGTAGAATGGATCCCTATCTAGACTAAGGTAGAGAGAGACTGCTGAACGCGATGACTTTCTTGATGTGGATAAAAGGGTTAAGGCCTACACAATCTCACTCCTTTTCTTAACTTAGTGAAGGCTTTAAATGCTGAGGCTCAGTCAAATGAGGCGTCCTTAGTAAATGAACTAGCCCTCGGCAATGAATTAGGGGTATATTTTTCTTTTGTTCAACGTTTTCTCAGAATAGTTTGTTTCAGATGGATACTTAATGTTTGGCCAAATAGAAATATAATTGTAATATAAAAAGATCTCTGATTCCGTTTACTGTAGTCACTGAGTGACTACCAACCTACCCACACCCCATAGCTTCGTTACAATAACAGCAACGTCTTCTTGGGTATGTGCGAATATCTTTGGACATTTCTCTTCTAGAAAATAATCAAGCTATAGATAGCTCTCTTAGAGAGGTGGCATTGGCGCCGCCACAGCGCGTACAACCATTCAAAATATATTGCTTTTCATGGGATTCTGTTTACCCCGAGTTCTCAACTCATATATTTTACATTCCTGAATTTTACATATTCACCATTATTCGCTGAGCTCTACAATGGACTCAACTGGACAAAACAAAGAGACTATTTGAAGCTGTTGAATTTAGTGGAAGTAGAGTTCCCTGATTTTGATTGGCATTATCATCCTGCTAAGTCTTTCTATGCTTTTCTGGGATAGTGGTTACCAGGTTAATAGAGCCAGATCTCTAACCACCAAAATCCTATGTTGTTGCTTACTTCACAGCTTCTTTAGAGCCAAGAAAGAGTTCAAAACGAGTTTAGCAAGACCTCTCTGCCTCTGGACTACCAATCTTTCTGAAGTGATGCTCTAGGGTCTGTGCCACTTTCTGCACAGCATCTATTGCACTGCTTTCTTACAGTTATAGAAATATTGTAGCCGCCTACGCGACGGCTACCCTGTGTTAATTTTGTCGCTTTTCGCTTGGAACTTGTTACCTCCCCTTCTGGTTTTGAGAGGGACCAGTCATTTATTGCCACAAGGGAACCTATGAGGGTTGGTGGGAACATATTTTCTCCCCGTAGCTGACTTCTTTACTATGTTACGTTTCAGTAATATTATTGCGGTGCCAACAAGCGCTTAATATCATTATCTATTTCCCTGACTCTTATGCGCACCAGATTAAAATGAGCAGCAGCTCCTCTTTTCGGCAAGAAGCTGGTCTCTCAGTTGCCAGAGAAAGTGGTTTTTATACTCCACCTACAAACCCTGAGCTCCTTCTAGTAGGCAGAATGCTCACTCTAGAATACCTTCCTCACACTTTCCTCTATCATGCGCAGTAGTCAGCAGCTAAGAGCAGGTATACTTCTACCCGATCAAGAATAGAAATACTCCTTTCCTGGCCACTACAGATCGTTTTAGGACAGACTCAATTACAGCGCAACAAACGAACCACGGAATACAAGCAGACGCGTTTCCTGTTTTATTCTAAAAGTCCATATATTTCAGTTATAATTCTAGCTTAATATAGACACGGGAGTACCATGTGTACTTTTCTACCCGTTCATTGACATTTTGTCTTATTACACGCTCTTTTTTCTTAGCCGATTATAGCACGTCGTTTAAGCGAATCAAAACACAGCGGTTAGTCCTCGGATCAAAATTGAAATCGAAAGCTGACTTATATGCTTACTAATCCAGCGTACCAACGCCATTCGTCGTCGTCGTAAGCTCCTCCGAGCCTCGCTTGCTTTTACCAGGACAATTATTGCACCTAGAAGACTTGGGAGCGGAAATTGCTGGAGAGACTCATTGTTATAAGCAGTAGGTTCAATTTAAATTCGAGAAGAAGAACGTTAATTAACGAAAACTAGATATGTCGGATTACGCTTTATCTATCGTGACATACGACCGCGGAGAGAGATGGGACGACAGTAACGACAAAAAGCCATACCACTGGTCTTTTTTCCTCGCACTTAACAACGATAAAGTCGGGCGAGTCTGCCAGCTGCGAGGAATGCCTGGCGGATTTTACTACGACGGGGAAGAAAATGAGGATCTCAAAGAATCCGCAGGTATCAAGGAAATACTTGAGGTCGGTGCTGTCCCAGCAGGGAAGATTGATCGGTTTAAGGAGCTCTTGAACTCTGTGCGAATTGAAAAGAATGAGTCAACAAAGTGGAATTGTCAGAGTTGGTGTCTTGAAGCACTAGAACTCCTCCGTCTGGAAGGATTCTTTTCGGAGGACTACCCCAACAATGTTATCCAGTACTGGCTGAGGGAAGACTGAGAAGAGCATGAACGGCGAGCCTGTTGGAACGAGCCTGTTGGAACGAGCCTGTTGGAACGAGCCTGTTGGAACTTAAGACTTCGCTGTAGTCATGAGTAAAGTGCTTTGTTGGTTAGATTGTGTTGCGACTTGCAATATGCTTCAATACCCAATCTGCTTATTTGAACTTACAAAGTTACCTTTGAAACCCCCTGTAAATCCTGTTCGATTTCCAACTTGGGTAAGTACGGAAATAAGACATGGTTCATAAATTCCACCCATCATGACTGGTATCTGCTTCCGAATCTGGATTTGGTGTATTCCCAAGGTTTCGGCCACCATCCAGCCATTTCCCAATCAACAATACTATTTATCCTCCCTATCGCTGGATCGACAAGTTTATGATCTCCACCTAAATCAGCATGGGTATACGTAATTCCATGAACATCTGCCATTTGCTGCGAGCTGTAGGAGTCATAGTTGCCCACGCGGTGATGAGGGAGGCACAAAGGCCTTGTATCTCCTTCATCGAAACCAACTACTTATCACGATTGGGCCTTCGTCAATAAAAAATTCAACCACGGAGGGCACTGAGACAGATGTATCCTGTCGAAAGGAATTGCTAGTCTCAATATCTCTCTGAATCTGCTGACTCGTTCAATGCTTGACGTAAATTTAAAAGCTGAGCCCTTTTTACAAGCAGCTAGACAACTCTGGCTGAACGAAGGAGCCATGTGGGGATACGGTCAGTAATGTCGACATCTTGTGTCATGTGGTTTCCATTTTCATATTACCGTATTCTTTTACCGCCAAAAAAGCACGATTACTGAAAAATCGGCAATAAATGACGCTTAATCAGCGACTAACAGTAGGCGTCTACTGGTGTTCTGATGTGTAATAAAAATTGGACTTGGAGGTAACATTGGAAATAAGTTGGAAAGAGTAGTTGAAGTTGGAAGTTGAGCTGAGGTTGGAATTTGAGGGAAGATTTATGGGGATTCTGACCGGTAACCTTTACCCATCCCTTTTGAAATGGCAGAACATGGCATGTGACATTCATTTGGAGACTTCTTGTACTGCTTTCTTAGCGTCAACGAAGGAGGTAGATTCTGCGTCGGGTCGACAAGCCTCGCTTGTTGATACTTGGTGTTGATTGGAAACAGGTTGTAAGCTGTATACTAAACAAACAAGACCATCGCCTAATTGAGATGCCTAGCAGGAAGAAGAAACTTCCACTGGTCTGAACGGGAATAGATGAGGGTTGTGTTACGTAGCAAACTTCTTTTTTTGTCGAGGAATTCTTGTGCGCGCTCTAGGATTGGGATTAGTACTCTAAGGCAGTTCCACAAACACCAGCCACCAGCCACAATTGCTTCACAGATTGATCTGATCATTTCACTGCTTTCTTGGCGTCAAAGAAGGGGTTGCTGACGCCCCTCTTGTGTAATGCATCTCTAAGTCGTGCTCTTCCCTCCTTGCTTAGCATCGACGAATGACCTGAAATTCCACTTTGACACCTCGCTTATGCAGATTCATTGGAGCGAGAAAGAAACATCGTCATTTCTTCTAATCTCAAGAGACGACCATAAAAGGTGCACGCAACAAGGGATATAACTCCTGTGGTGGAAATTGTATTGAAGTTACTAGATTTGAAAGGACAGAGTATTCTCTGTTAGACCCTGTGGCTGCGAGGGATGGTTCAAATGCAAATAGACTTGTTTGGTAATAAGATTTCGTGTTAGATGGTTCTGTTAGTCCGACAGCTGTTAATGTAGCTTCTGGGGTATTATTTGAAGGAAAAATCTCTTTTCCTAACAATTTTCGGAAGATCTCATGGAAGAGACAGATATTTGATGTTGTGAAAATATTCAATGTAAAGGTTTTTAAGCACCTTCGATTGGATGACCTGCTTCGGGTTATTATTGGGTAAGTAGCAAATGAGAGGCTCTGCTTGCACTGCTTTCTCCGCGTCGATAAAGGCGTTGGGTTGTTCTAGACCTCGCTTATACCGCTTATGCTCTCAGTACTCGCTAGCTGTTATTTCGAATTAAAATATTTTCAGTCACACTTCTATTATCAAATACTCTCATTGCTAGACTAATGAAAGTCTTTTTGGACACATCGTAAACATCTTTTGCGACGCTTGAGTTGAGAGACGTGAGATTCAATTGAGATTCAATGAAATTGTCAATGGAAGAAATAGAAATATATGGATTTTGATTGAAAGATTTGATTAGGCTGTGCCGCCGTGGGTTCTTTATGTGACGGGAGCTTGAGAAAATGAGCTCTTGAGAAAACAATAGATCTAGGAGTTCCTTTGCCATGAAGTATCAGGACTGATCTTCAATTCGCAAAACCGATTTCATGTTCCCTTATGAATACTGGGAAGCTTCACGTAACTCGGCTGCTCACTCTTCGAAGGTTTCTGGAGGTTGAGTCAAGAGAACAAGACTAGTTGAATGATTCGGGATTCTGGAGGGGGTTTTCATTCTGTACTGGTAGGTTTTGAGCAAAAAACGTCAGGATATCTATATCACGTGATGCATAGTTGACGCTAATCCCGTCAAAGCGGTTACTGCCGAGCTCTCAAGTTGAGTCCAAATTCCGGTACCTCAAGCTCAACAACGCCGATTCCCAATTGATACCCCATACCATCATGAACTCCATCCGAATCGCCCGTACGGCTCTGCGAGCGCGTCCCGCAGCTATCAAGACCCCTCTTATGCGCCGAGGTTACGCTGAAGCTGTGTCGGATAAGGTCCGTTGCATCATGAACAGATTTTTGCGGTAGCGTGCTAAGTGCCATTCTAGATTAAGTTGAGCTTGGCTCTTCCACACCAGGTACGTCGAATTGCGATTAAAACATACGCGGAAGGACAATTGGGGAATGGAGGGGCTGGGGGTTGGTGTGGTTGGAAGGGGGTTTGGTGGATTGGGAGATCCAAGGTTAACACGATGAACAGTCTGTCTACAAATCGCAAGATGTTGTCCAGGTCAACATTCCTGCAGAGTCCGGCGAGATGGGTGTCCTCGCCAACCACGTTCCATCAATTGAGCAATTGAAACCGGGTCTCGTTGAGATCATCGAGGAGAGTGGTGGAAGCAAGCAGTTCTTCCGTATGTCCCCGCCGAACATTTCAGGGCGAACATATATCTAACCAGGTTATCCACAGTTTCCGGAGGATTCGCAACCGTGCAGCCAAACTCACATTTGAGTATCAACGCCGTCGAGGGGTTCCCATTAGAGGATTTTAGCATCGAGGCCGTTCGATCGCAAATCGCAGAGGCAACAAAGATTGTTGGGGGAAGTGGTAGTGAGCAAGATATTGCAGAGGCAAAGATTGAACTTGAGGTATGTTGTGGTTCTAAGGTGGAATTTGAGCATGGCTAATATAAATCTAGGTGCTCGAGAGTTTACAAGCTGCTTTGAAGTAATTGGGTGATTGGGACGGTTAACTCTTATAGACGCAGCTGCCATGTACATCATTGTTTCCTAAATGCATCCTTTGAATTTGACCTGACGGGTTCGAATGAGAAGGCAGTTTCTGACATTTTTATTGAGTCTTCATGAGCCTTTCAACAGTGTAAATTTCCTCCCACACTGCTAAACTTCGTGCCTGGAGAGCTCCCCCGGATTTTGACCCACATGAACCGTGGTGTACAAATTAACAGCACTATGTCGGGTCTTTACTGGGAAGTGGATGGGGCTAGTTCCAACAGTCTTCTGATACTAATGATTACCTACCCCTTTGCTAATTTCTCGACTATCCCCAAATATTCCCCACAGTTGTACTCTGAACGATCGCAAGTGCCACTTATCCGTCGAGTTTGCCGGGCCTGAGATCAACGGGTTATGATTCCAATGTGCGTGGCTCTTGTCTCTAGCCAATCCAAGAAAAGGGTCCTAGCAACATGTGTTTGAAAATACTAGAATATATACCTACCTATCTGTCTATCATCTATTGTGATAGATGAAACCTTCTCCCATTTTTCGCCATTGCCATCCAGTCCATATAGACTCAACACTATTTGTGTCAGGTCTTCGTTGCTCTCTCTTTTAGGGGTTTGATTTTCGATGGGCTTTCTCGTGGGTTGCTCTTTCCTTTCTAGGTTCCGTACCTCTTTACTGGTTTGTTCTTTCCTTTGAGAAATTTCATCCTCATTGCATGTACTCTACTCTTAAAAGCAAATCTTTTCCGACAAGAATTGGCTCTTGTCAAAGTTGCTCTTTCCTTCCTAAGTCCTCTCATAGTCTGATAGGGCTCTTCCCCTCTGGGGTTTGATCTCAATGCCGGGATCAGATCAAGATCGCGCCTTCCGCTCCAAGGACTCGAAACGATCAGAACCAAAAAACCTCAAGGCCATTCGAATGCTCGCTCGTATGTGGTTTAGTTTTGTATCGATATTCATATCCGCATCCTTTGGACATTACACAAGAATCACGATTACAAATGTTTCTTTCCATGCTGGGCAATAAACCACGGCTATGACTTTCCGCTGGCAGTCAACTAGGCCGAATCGTACGCCCAGCGATCGATCGACCTCAAATCTATCGCCACTCGCTGTTCGAACATTTCCGCGAGGTCTCTCCAATCGCCACAATGTCCCTACTGGAACTGTGGCATCACGCATCTCGCATCTACAGAGCCTGGCAAATCCAAGCGTGGCTCCTCCTGCTTCCCCTACTGGATCTCGACGAAGGGAGACTTCCAGGACCGGCTTTGGTAGGCGTCTAGCCAGCCGTTTCGCGCAACCCGCATTGAGAAATAGAGAGCCAGACGATGATGAATACAGTCAAGTTGACGTTCATCATTCATTTCTTGGTTTGACCAATCCCCGAAAGAACCATGAAGAGGAACATGCCAGGGCTCATTTATTCAAAGATAAAAAATCAACGTATCCTCACTCTTGGAGATCTCGCCAGACGACCAACTCCCATCTAGTCAAGAGTTCCGAAGTCTTGAAAGCTCGATCGAAAAGTTCGGCGGAGACATATGTCTTCAGTGACGAGTCTGTAGACCACTACAGCGCCGATCCGTTTCGCCGAGACCTAGGCCCAGAACATAAGGCGTTTGATTCGGAGATCTCGTTAAATACAACGTCTTCAATGCGACGCCAAAGTGTGGTTGATCTGTATCATGAGTATGGCATCGAGCGACCAGCAAGACTTGTGTCATCTCGAGGACCCTCTCCCTCTCACACAGATGATACGCCCAGACAGGCACACGCTCAATGGACATGTCATAACTGTAGTTGGACCAATAATAGCTCTACACCTGACTGTTGGAGATGTCATGTCTCCGCCAATGATGGAAAGCTTGATGTATCCGACGGTGCTGGCGCAAGCAAAACGGATAAAAAGGCAAGAAAGCCAAAGCCAAAACCAATTTTTGAACCACAAACGCCCAACCCTCCAAAGGCCAAACGAGTTTCGAGGCAGAAGTCCACCCCTACAATCAAATTTCCATCATTCGATGCCAAAATTACGACTACTGCTAGCAAAGATTCTCGAGGCCCTTCGCCAACAAGTCACGTTGTCTCAAAAGAATTGGGACAAACGCCTCGTAATGTATCACAAAAGCTGAGACCGCAACAATCTGCGCCAGAACAATCGAATCAGCCTCTTTCGGTCCCCGGATTATCACCATCAAGAGGTCAGATGAAAAGGGTCCAGGAGTCACCTTTTACAAAAGCAGATCGAGGAACCGTCTTCCGCTCCAAAAAGCGACCGAAGAATGGTTCATCAGACTCGCCCGAGAAGTCAGAGTGTATAAGCCCTAGTTGCCGTGCGGCTTATGGAGGGCATAAACCACACCGTCATACCATAACCTGCACTTGGAATATGCGTCGCATTCAGGAGCATACAGATAAGGGATATGCAGCAGATACTAGTCACATAGGGGACACAACTGCCTCCTATAACTCCTTCGCTATTGCCTCCGAATCGGATTCCCATGTGTTCCATTCAGCACGAGAGTTTAGATCTGATGTATCCCAGACTGCAAAGGGTGAGTTAGAAGGAGAAACCTATTCCCTAAAACAAGTCAGATGTGATGGATATCCTCGAACAGGTCATGAATTTCTTGGCAGCCCATTTTGCCCAGATACTGTGGGAGAATGCCAGCATTGCCCAGACGACTGTGGCTGCGAAGCGTGTCAAGAAGCACCTCATACTGTTAGATGTTGTGTACATCGTGACCATGCCAAGATACCACATTATCATTTGATACATCGAGACGAAGCTACTGACTTTTCGGCAGGCAATCCAGCCAACATACCCACAGATGAAAAATCGGCCATTCGTCCTGATGACACAAGCCGGACGAGCACTGTTGTGCCGCCAAAACCTCTAACCAAGAAGGTGAGTAGGCTTATTCTCATTGGGCGAGGCACGGAGGTTCATCTCTAGGATTTTTCGAATTATCCTTTGTAAACCGAGTCACTGCTGATGCCAGCACAGAAGTCTAGCTTGCCGAAACCACCAATTCCACCTAAAAAGATGTCGCTGAAAGAATTCCAGCGGAGGAAATTCCCGGGTCATGACATCAACAAAACAGCACCTGGGCGCTTGGTCGATGATCAGTTGAAATCAACTTTGAAAGAAGGTTCGCTATCGGATGCAACTACAATCTTGTCAAACAATCCCACTTCATCCACGACACGACTTCAAAGTTTGCAAACCGGTATTACTACACCCGAGCGCGTGGAGCTTTCTCTGCAAGCACGCCAGGATACAGTTGCCCCGAAGCCCCTTCAAAAATCGGAAGCTGAGGGCGAAACTCCTGTAAAGAGTGACTGGGACACTCCCTTGAAGAGATCACACAAGGACTTCCCACCAGGCTTCAAATTGAGGGATAAATCCAGTGTTCCACTTTTGACGAACAGACTGCACGAGCACCAGGAAGAACTCAGAAGCCGTAGAGGGGGGAAGTCCGAGGACACCTTGGTCTCCTCGGTACCATTTCCCAAACCTCAGATTGCAACACCAAAGGGTCTCAAAGATTGCAATGAGAATTGCGTTAGCCCCGCCATTCCAAATCAGAAAAAGAAATTGAGATTGAAAGTTGGAAGCCGGGTCAATATGGATGGATCTCCTTCATCCTTTGAAAATCAGAGATTGAGTCAGAGTAAAGATGGTGGAGTGGAAGGTAGCAGTGGAAGTGAGTGGAGAGAGGAACGTTCCGGGCCCTTGAGTAAGTCAGATATGCATGAGTGTATCTGGAGAAAACTATTCTTGGAGGAACAAGGTGGGGATAAAAATGGGGACGTGAAGCAGAATGAGATGCATCTTAAGAGAGGGGGAATCAAGGGGATCAAACTTGTTATTGAGTTATTCGGAAAGGAGGATTTGGTGTTAGAGGGGGAGTTTTAGGGAAGAGAGGAAAGGGAGAGATTGTATAAGGGTTATTGGTGTTAGTGAGTTTTGAGAAGTTTCAGATTACTGGTGTTGGATTTGGAATAGATTGGTCTTGGGGCGAGGAGGATGAGGAGGGTTTGAATGGCTTGAATGACTGGCTTACTTTGGGGGTTATTCTCCATTGGTGTAGTGAGTGAGTGGTATTGGTATAAGAATAGATTGATTGCATGCTGCTTTTCGTACGAAGGCGTGTGACACAAAGGCATATTTCTTCTTTCCGTTTTTTTGAGCTCTTGAAAGGTTATCTGCTCTTTGTATATTCTGTGACTCAATTACAGCAACCTGTTGGTTTTGGCTACGATGCGTGAACTGGTCTTGAATTTTCGGTGGTTCAGCCAAGTATTAAATCTATCCTGGTTTGTATATGCGGGATTCGATATTTGACTGAATTTACACAGGAGTCAGGTGTAACGAATACTCAAACTGGCTAACTAAACTTGGCTGGGTGTTCGCTGGTTGGTATGCTATGATAAGAAGAAGACTATCGGGTTGTTCACTTGGAAGTGAACTCGTTACTTGTATCAAAGATGTCAAACTAATATGATAAGATTGATAACTAAGTTGAGCACGAAGCTCCTATCTAATGGCAGACGTGCCAGTCTTATATAGAACCTTCGTTCTCCCTAGGCGGTCAACTCGCCTGTCGAGCTGGCGGTCCAGATAGCCAGATCGCTAGGCGACCTGGCGGTCCAGTCTTAGTCACGTGATTACATACAAGANTTGATAACTAAGTTGAGCACGAAGCTCCTATCTAATGGCAGACGTGCCAGTCTTATATAGAACCTTCGTTCTCCCTAGGCGGTCAACTCGCCTGTCGAGCTGGCGGTCCAGATAGCCAGATCGCTAGGCGACCTGGCGGTCCAGTCTTAGTCACGTGATTACATACAAGAGAAATCCCTGGATCGCTTAGCTACCCTAAACGATCCCTATTTGCTATAAGAAACCTGGATGTGCCTGTCGAGGGTTGCGCCTCTTATTATGAAAAGTATCACGTGAGCACGTGATTCGTGACATCAGGTACATAAATTGTTTTGATTCTTTGATGGGGTGCGGAAGTTCCTTTTCTGTCGGCTGCTAAGCGAGGTATCTGTGCTCTGCTGTCCCTTTTTCACGACAGGCGGTTCGTAATAGGAGAACCAATTTTTGGTATGGGCTTTTGATGGTATATCAAACCGACTTTGGAAGTTTGGGTTCCGTTTCTCACCTCTCGGATGATGCCGTAGGTTATCTCAACCGTATGGTTTGACTCTGGTAATTTCTTTGCCGGCCATAAAATTCTTACTTCCCATTATCCCATAGAATTGATGACCCCTTTTTCCATAACCCATGTCATGCATTTCTCCTTTTCGTAGTATTCATTTCTTCGGGTACGAGATGCTCGCTCACCAAACATCCTCGGGATTAACCTCATACTTCTCCCCATTCTCCCGGACATGTTCGCGCTTCACGTCCCGTGCGAGACTCTTCCGCATGTCATATGCATCTTCGCTGTCCCGCGATTTATCCGTTAGATGCTCGCTGTAGTATTCTACGACCTTCCGGAAGACACTGTAGCCCATTCCTTTGTAGAGCGTCTGTGCGATGGTGTTGGATTGGCGCACGAAGAGGTCCACGAAGAAGGCGTTGTAGGCGTCTCCGGCGTGTTCGAGGGATTGGGAGAGTGTGCGTGCTAGGCCGAGACGACGTGAGGAGGGCGAGACGGTTAGGGCGGTTATGTGGGCGTGGTGGGGGAGGTAGTGCGGGGATTTGGTGAGGGCTAGGAGAGGGGGGGAGGATTCGAGTTTGCCCATTACTTTTGGGGGGGTTAGTTGGGTATGTGATGATGGGGTGAGAGGATAGAATAGGATGAGGATGGAATGGGGTGGGGTAACAAACGGTAGGCATCGATGGTTCCGGTGGGACTGAGTGCGACGTTGAAGAGGTGTGGCCAGCGCGCCAGGTAGGAAAAGTAGAAGTTGAGGTCATAGGTTTCGGTGAGGGGGTCTAGGTTGGTGGGGTTGAATTTGAAGACATCTAGAGCGTGGAAGGGACGGAGGGATGTCATGGTGATTTCTTTTGCTTGTGGTCTCTCGACCCGGATGCGTGATACTCGTCGAGGAAGAGGATGTTGTGGGAAGGACTTGAGACAAGGTTATGGTTGTCGTGAGGATTTGGTGGTGTACGAGTAGGGTTGGGATGTTGATTGTTGCGTTCATCTAATCTATTCTTTTCTTTTTTGGGTTCATTGACGGTCGTATTGTTGTGGCGCGTCCACAGCCACGAGGGAAAATCCCCGGAATTTTGGGACGACGACGACCACAATCATTCACCTGCATGCTGAAAGCTACACAAAACCCCGCCTACGGAAACCCCCCAAATCTCCCAATCTTCCAGCAATTTCCAGTGAATTCAGCCTCACCAGAGAAAGATACCGATAAACGTCACTTTGGTCTAGTGCATTGTGCTGTAATCTCGACCGGGGTGCATCACCGCCAATCGCCCAAACCGGGGGATGCGCAAATTATAGACAAGCAATCATAATATGGCATCAACGCAATAAATTCGCCAGATAACGTCCCCTGTCCTGCACTTTCACTTTCGTCTCCACGTCGACGACTCATCAAGGCCGCTCACTACTCGTACCGAAATCTAATAACAACATCCGCAAAGCCAAGTCTTCTTCAGCTTCTCCAGCGCCGTCCCTTTTCAACGTGTCACCATATCTCCTTACGATCCCCCTTGACGAGTTGACGATTGATACCCCGTAGATACGACGAAATCGGCGTACAACACACACGGACATTTGACCTGGGAGTGAAGGAAACCTTGAAGCGGACGATCTTCGCACTGGACGACATCGAGTGCCGATCTTTTTCCCACGTCGACAAGATGTCAACCTCTCCGCGAACTCCAAGACATATTAGGAGGAATACTTCGAATAGTATTGATCTCTCCTTCGCGACCCCCCTTTCCTACGGCAATGAGCACTCTCCCCAACGTCGGGGCTCGAAACAATCTCTGCACTCCCCCTCAACGCCCAATCGCAATTCCATGAGCCGTGGGGATAGTATGGGGATGGATGCTTTCAGCAACGGAGCTACACTTGCTGCAAATGGCTTGGGGAATTTGGCAGATGAGCTAGCAGATGCGTGGGATGAGGATGAAGGGGAGGGCGAGGAAGACGACGAGGAACTGGAGATGAATTTCCAGGAGGTTAGAGGGATGGAGCCGACGAGGGATAGTGGTGTGGATGTTGGGTCGTCGCCGGTCCTGGCTCCGAGTAAAACGTCGAATTTGACGCCGCCGATCCAGATGAGGGGAAAGGGACATCGGAGACAGGCTAGTGATTATGATGGGAGTGATTATGGGGGAGACTCGGATATGGAGTCTGACGGGATGCCGCCTGGTTTACTGGCGCGAATGGATCAGGTGGAGAGTTTGGCAAGGAGAGGGACGGAGAGTAATGGGACAGAGATGGATGGGGTTGTGAAGAGGGTTGTTGAGGAGCTTAAAGATCTTGGGGGTCAATCTGGGGTGGAAGGTAATGCTACGAGGTATATTCCCCTTTCCCATTCATTTCATACGATTTCATATCTAACATATAAACAGACTCATCACAGCTCACACCGCGCTATCAACCCACCTCCTCCACCAAACCCGTCTCCTCCAATCCCTAGCATACCCCTTACTCTCACCCCTCGTCGCCCCACCCGACGACGAAACAATTGAAGATCTCCTCCCCCTCCTAGTAACCCTCTCAGAATCCATGCCGCGTCCCACAACCGCCGCCTTCACCTCCCTCACCCAACTCCACGGCCTCACAGCCGATCTCATCCAGACGCTCAACTACCTCTCCGACACCCTGCACATGTCGCGACAGACCACCACTGCCGCGACGCGTCGGCTGCGGAGCGCCCGGGAACTCGTGGCCGAGATGAAGAAGGAGGAGGAGGAGCGAGAAGAGGGGGAGCTTTGGCTCACCAAGGGGAATTGGAGCGAGCGGCTGGGGAAGAGAGAGTGTGCGGGGGTTTGTGGCGATGTGGTGGGGGGCTTTGAGGAGGTTTGTAATGGGTGGAGGGAGAGGTTGCTTGCGCAGGCTGAGGTGCAGGGGGTTGCTTAGCACTGAATTAGTGGGGGTTTTTTCTTTGATTTGTGGTTCGCTGTGGTGGGTGGGAATTGAGGAAGAGGAGGATAGATAGATATGGAGGGTGTAGATGTGTAGATTTGTGATCCCCAGGGATGGAGTCAGCCAGTTAGTCAGTCAGTCAGCAAGCAAGACGCGAGGGAATCAAAGAAACAATTGAAATGACATGATGCTGCGTCGAACAATGCTGGACTACCTAGTGTGTAAATATAGAGTGTTTCAGTCGCATTGTAATTTAGCGAGACAATGTAAATCTCAAAGAAATCTCAAGAATCAACCCACAAAATCAGACCATCCGTAAGATATAAGACTTCTTTGAGATGGTAATTAGAGCGAGGCTCAAGAGATAAGTAAATCACGATCAATACCCCGCCCCTCCCTCGTATTCCTTGGACCTTGGTAGTATAGTACTGGGCTAAGTAAACGCTGGTTCTAGTATATCTCGGTATGCGTATACGCATGTCACTCCACCTTACCTACACCACAGCTTTTGACAGCCAGTCTGTTTGTGTGTGTCGTGTTTGGGGGATGTGGATAGATTGTCCTCTTGAGGGAATGGATTCTGGAGTCTGGTTGTTGGTTTAGTTGTATCTATCTATCACTGGAGTTCCTCTTTTCTGGTAAGCGAGTTGAATATTGGATTGCGTGGGTTTTCGTGGTTAGGCGTTGGTATCGAGATGACTGGCTGGGTGGCTGGGTGGATGATGGGTGGATGGATGGGTGATGGGAAGTTGGAGTGTTTGTGGAGGGCTTGCGGATGGGGAGCGTTGTGATGGGATGATTTAAATTGGTTTGGGTTTGGTGGGCTCTTGGGTAATTGGGTTTGTTTTTAAGCGGAGATGGTGGGTATGATCTGTGGTGGGGACTCTGGGGAGGAAGAGGACAGTACTGTTTAGGGGAGATACTACGGTCTGTGGTGGAGATTTGAAATGGAGTTTAGAAACTAGGTAGTTCTGTGACTGGATTGAGTTTGGAGAAGTTTTGTTTTGTCTATAACAGTAGGCGGACATTTAGTTCGACACTGACTTGTAGGGAATATTAAGAGGGTTTGGTTCAGATCTAGTAGATGAATTGAAATAGAAGATTACTAGATTTAAAAGAGGGTATTATGTTTATTGTTTCTAAATCAAGTATTATAGTTACTTGGTACAATAATAAAGGGGATAGCGGCTTGTACTCTTTAACCAAGATGACCGGTTAAGCTAGCTTATACCGCCTTTTGAGATATTAATTGTTTTGAAAGATGCGTGTGAGGCAAACTTGGGCATGGAAGTATATAATGATTCATGAATCAAAATTTCTGAAAGTGGGTTTTAGCTTCGAGTTGGTGTAGCCCTTAAGAAGATCGTCTACAAGTCTCTTAAGTAAAGTAGAGGGAGATAAGAAAAGTTCTAATCGAACAGATTTTCGATACCTTATAGCGTATTAGTACCGTTATTCCACATCAAGTGTTCAATCCCAGGGCACAGGAAATAGGCGAAAAGTCTAATTACTCGTGAAGGAGAATTACTTGAATGCTCTTGAAGACTATACAGTAGAAGGTTTCCATTTTTTTTTCAAATAAATAATATTACTATATCTCGAAGGGGATGAAGAAACTTGAGATTCAAATTCTGTGATCTTGGGTAGTACTCCGTATTTTAGTTATCTTCTTCACGTGCGCCTTACTACGTAGTTACGGGAGGGAGTTAGGCTCAATATTTATCTTAGCCCTTTATTGTTTATAATGGAGAGGTGCGGAGGGCTGGACACATCCTCGGCCCTCGGGTCGGACCGGGGCCGGTCAAGTGAGACTACCATGTGTGGCTCGCTGATGTCCTCGGAGTCTCGGCCCGAGAATGGCGTTGGTAGACCAGTGCAAACCTATCTCTTAGAATGGAAAAATTACTGAGTCTTGTCGAGACGGAATCGATTAAATGGTCGCCATGGAAGCTTGGGCCACGTCGAGCATAAAACGTAGGCACTTAGGTGACTTTACACTACAAAACAACCAAAAATCATATTCCTCTAACCCCAACTTCTAGCCCTAACCCTAACTCTAGCCCTAACCCTAACTCTAGCCCTAACCCCCACCCTAACCAGTCTATCCTAAATTTCTGATTCTATTAGTGAAAAAAAATAGCCTGTTCTAGTAGTATTTTAGTAGTGGAAGAGGTGTGAGGAGGGTTGTAGTGGCCTGTACGTGGGCTTATTCATGCATTACTTATGCCGTCGTGGCGACCATTTAACCGATTCCGTCGAGACTAGCTTGGATTGTCAACGGCAGAAAGAATTCCCCGTGCTTCATCCGCTTTGTCTCTTCAAATCAGATCATATTTTACTAGTTGATTGGCATGCCTCGTAGCCAAGTATCCCTTCGTGCGGAACATGCACAGCGCCAAGGCTTGGCACCAACGTCAGGTCTCGAACGCGCATAGCTTCCACCACTTCTACTACTACTGCTGCTCCTTCTTTCTTATATTTAATATACCCCGCGCAGGATGGAGGAAAAACGATCCTTTAATATAGAATAACAAGGTTAAAAAGAGCGCTAGAAAGGCTGTCAAAAGGCCTCTTAGACAACTACTAACACTACCACCACGCCACGCCGCGAAAGGCCTCTCGCACCCTCTACTAAAGTGCTGGTTTGATACTTGGCACGTCCTGATCAGGTATGGCGGCGCCACGGCTCGCTTAAAGCCCCATACCAAGCCTGGGCGCTGTGCATGTTCCGCACGAAGGGACAGTAAGTAGCCGTGAATATTTACAGAAGACGAATTTTACAGCCTCATGTGGAGACAAATGTCCGAAACCTCTTGAAGGATTAGATAACATGTGTCTCGTACGGTATCTCAATAATATAATTCATGGCATGTATTTTGCTATCTCGAAAAGAGGACCTTATATATTTCCACTTCCTCCAAGGCATAAAGAATCTGGATAGCTCGGGTCACCCCCCCCACACCTTTTTTCACCTTCTAATATACCTCTACATTAATCGAACACTCCAATTGGCTTAGAGGGTCATATTGTGGGGTTATACCCTGCCTATAACAGACTCCTCCTATACAGTTTGACACTTTGGCTATACAGTGACAGATAACCTGTTTAGGAAGTCAAGGCGCTCCGAGTATTCCACCTCTTAGGGTACTCATAACACTAAATTGACTTTATCAACTTGGGCGGGTTAGGGTTAGGGTTAGGGCCAGGGGTCTGTGTTAGCGGAATATGAACCCCCACAACCTACGATATTAAGATCTCACCTACCCCCTTGGGTTAGGGGGTTTGGGTTAGGCACCTCGTTAGCTGTCAAAATGTATAGCCAAAGTGTTAAACTGTATAGGGAGACTCCTATAACATGGTATACAGGGGAGGGAGACGCGAGGTGTCCAGACCTTTATCCTCATCATAGCACCATTTTTAGAAAGTTGTGCCTTGTTACCCAGTTTGGACACCCTGAAAAGTCAAGCTTGTAACGGTTGGGAAAAAGCGAAGGAAAAACCAGTACGAGCAGCGGCAATTCTTTTTGTCAAGGTCGCTAAGAGCACACCAAGAACTTTTGCGGGATTTTTATGGGCTATTGTGCTTGGCCACAACAAGAGCCTTGTACTTCGAAGTACAACTGCCTTTACTGTGTTTCTTTATACGCTTTTCGAGAGACGTAGGAACTCGGATTAGGCTCAAATTGAAGTGAAAAACAGGCTTAGCACTATACTAGATCCTTGACCTGTCATTTGCGCAAGTTGAATCACCCGGAGGTCAAGTCTTGGATGTCTCTTGGCGACCTTGATAGTGAAGTCTGGCGATACTCACTTTTTAAACGAACGCGTATCGTTCTGTTATCATACTGATTGGGCCAAAAGAAACGCACTTGTGGAAAACGTGAGTGAGTTACATTGTTTCTTCTACGGAGGTACTTACGTGTATAGACTGTCATACGATTTGTGGAGTGGTTGCCCCGAAGTTCTGGCGATAAGCTGAGACGATGCCAAATGTCAATTGTTTCAAGGACGAGGTACTTCGTCCCTGCTGTAACAAAGATTGAGTTTACGAGGGCTTTTACCCTGTAATCAACTGAACAGCCCCCGTAAATTCAACTTTTATTCGCCTGGGAGGAAGTATGATCTTCAATTCAACGGTATGGCTAAGAGTTCTTGGGTATGCTTAGTCCGAACCTCTATACCGAGATTAAACAGTTCTCCAAGAAACGTTCCGCAGCTCAACATACCTATACAAGCAGCATAACCACCTCTTACAACGTCCCATACCTTCTAGCAACCATCATCTTCAATACAACCTCTAATATTCTATTCTTACCACATTTTCTAAAACCAAAATTCGAAAACATTTCAATATGAAGTTCTCTGCCGTCTTCCTCGTTTCTGCCCTCTTCTCCCTCAGCCTGGCTGCTGAGCTCTCCAGCAACAACTCTCCAGCACCCGCAAGACTTGCCCGCCGAAAGGGTGACGAGCGATGCTTCGGAAACTCCATCTGCACGGGTCCTGGTTCTCCTAAGGAGTGCCCCGGTGTAAGTACCTCTTCTTCCTGGGCGAATATCTCTATCTATACCAAAGGTTTCTCGCTGACCAAGGCAATGCAATTATATAGTGCTGTGATCCCGATGTTTTCAACTGCAAAACCGGAGAGGTTCTATAGAGTGAGCGGGGTTGGTTGGGTTGGTCTTGTGGGTCGTGCTAGCCACGCATTTTAGATCAGAATAATAAAATCTATTACCGTTTATCACACAATGCCAGTTTCGGTTGAGGTTATTAAGTGTTGCAAATGTAGAAACTTTGTCCCACGAGAAACATGAAAAGCTGTAACACTTTGATCTAAAGCAATAAGACCAGTTTCTTCTTACTAATCCAGCTGGAGGGTCTCGACCAAGCCATACCCACTTTTCCAAATGATACGTCTCTTTCCCCGCGTTTTCCCCGCGGCATTTTGTCTACATACGTACTTCTCGCAGAAGCATCACTCCAAGCTCGGATGAAGCTGAGTTTACTTTCCTTTATTCTCCTGCTCAGTCCATGAACCAACTCCTCTGAGAGCCTCTTCTTGAGTCATTTGTGGGGCGTCGTGAGAGGTGCAATCGGTAGTAGAGACATCAGAGGAAGTGCCTTGTGAAGATGGATAAGTCGTGGTGCCAGAACTCTCTGTTTCTCTGTCACAAAGTAAAAGAGTTAGACTTGGGTGAAAGTTGAGAGGAGAGAGGGGTGCATAAGACACCTATCGGGCATATTTTCGTGACTTTTGGGCTTGGACTTTGATTGAGAATCGAAGAGAACGCTGGTTCTTTGACTGCTTTAGTGGCTTCAGAATTCTTGTTTATATATAAACCAGTAACCCTTCACTCAGTATATCCGAGGTTTAGCAATGGTAACAACCTGAACTGTGATTGGATGAGAAACGTATTGTGAATCATATTCAAGTTTTTGTGAATTATTTGATAGAAGTACAGATGAATGGCTCGTTACCCCTTGTAAAAATCATTGTAAATCCATTTGGACTTGCTCAATGGGGTACCCAATAATCTTGTTTCAATCTGGAGATAAAGCTAGACCGGAGGCAGTGGGCTCAGGGTGTACTGGCCTTGATTTCCGTCTAAGTCTTGCAGATGTGAAATTTGAAAAGAATAGTAACCAGTCAGTCATGGCAAAGGTTCGCCGCAGTGAATGGCTTTTTTGAATCATTGGGGAGGGTCTACAAAAGTCAAATTGATCCAAAGAGTACATTCACTTACTTTGATATGACGGATAATATGCGTCCACACCAATCAGTACCAACAACCCCCTTTTCATGGTTTGAAACTTGTCAAACGTTGAACGTGTAACTCGTACAAACAGATACAGTCGTTTTCAGCCAGATGACTCCGTAGAGGCTCTTTGGCCCCACAAGGTGCGTGGAAAACATAGATCAAGCTTCTGATGTTCCAGAACAATAGTAAGCGATTGCCATTTTTACTTCATAGAAGAAGATGGGTTCCTGTTTCGTCATCTATCTATCTCGCTTAAGCCCCTGAGACTAGCGAAACACTAAATTCCGGAACGTATACACTTGTCTTGCTTATTATCTGAGAACAGAACACACAGTATATTTAGGTAACTCACACTACAATAGGTAGAGTGCAAGTTTGGATTGTATAGATCAGTGCTTAGAGTACGAATGAGTGTCGAAAATCGCTACGATTCACTCGGTGGTTAAAGCTCACACAACGATATCTGCTATGGGAAAGCTTTATCTGATATTTAAATATTATTTGTCTTACGCCGCTGGGCGTAAAGCCTACCCTAAGGGTATACGGTACTTCTTCTCGTCTAAATCTAACTAAGTTAACAAGTCTTACTTATTATATACTCTATCGTTTACTACTAATATAAGGTATAAGGCTTAGCTACCCGCTTAGTAGCTAAGAGTAAGGTCTTAGGTTAGTAGCTAGGGCTTAGCTACCGAAGTACAAAAGGAAGTAATAAAACAAACAAAACAAAACGACTAAATAAACTAAGTAATAGTAAGGTAAAAATAAAATAAACTAATACTAACTAAGAGCTCTAGAGACGCTAAAGTCTCTTTCTTAGGCAGGTTACTTAGTATAGGACTAATCCCTCTATAGCTATTTAGAGGCTATTCTCTTATCTTGTCACGAATCACGTGCTCACGTGATACTTGTCATAATAAAGAGGCGCAACCCTCGACAGGCACATCCAGGTTTCTTATAGCAAATGGGGATGCTTAGACTAGCTAAGCGATCCGAGGATTTCTCGTGTATGTAGTCACGTGATCAATCGCATCGCCTGTATCGACAGTCGATGTTAGCGATAGGAGGTCGACTACATCGACAGGTGATGTAGGCGATGTAGAGAGAACGAAGGTTCTATATAAGACTGGCACGTCTGCCATTGGATAGGAGCTTCGTGCTCAACTTAGTTATCAATCTTATCATATTAGTTTGACATCTTTGATACAAGTAACGAGTTCACTT